CTTAGATTTTGATACAGGGTGAATCGAAAATCAAATCAGAAATATCAAATTTTGCCATAGCACCCTATATGAGATTTTGCGTTCAAATTTCGTATGAGAGTATTTCAAAGCACACTTCTTTACTCTGACAACTGTCATCGTCAGAATATTTTACGTTTTCTTTACAAAAATCTATTCCAAACTGAATTATGAATTTCTAAAATACATTCCAGAAACATTCTCATTGATATGGTATATATTATGTTATAAGTGTTATAACCGTCTTTTTAGTATGTAACGAGTTTATGGACGCGTCACATACTATACCTTTTCTACGAACCCATAATTCCTCTCTTTGACAAGATCCCATAATTCCGGAAATTAGGTTAACCTACCCGCTAACCTACTAATTCATTCGAAGGAAATGGGAATTTAGAACATAATACTATGCAACTGCATGCAACCAACGAGGCACGTATGAGTGATATTGGTTGAAGATGTGTCTAGACCATGAATTTTACTTACCTTTGTGAATTAGAAGTTTTCATCTGACGTAGAAGATGAAAACTCTTCGACTCGCTGAGATACTAGAGTTTTAGATTTCTCAGGTTTGTATCCATATTCTGATTGCATAATTTTTGCTTACATGAAAGTTCTTACGTTTTTTATTTTTATGCTTAGCATAGAATAAATTGCCCACAAATATGAGAGCTTCATTTTCACACAGAGTTCTTGGAAATAAGTAACTAAAACACGCTGAAACATCATTTTCGATTTCACATACGTTTTCAATAAAGAAATCTGGGATACTAACAAAAATTCTTCGAATAATTCTGATTATCACCGATTGCAAATTGCTACAAAATTCGAAAATGACTGTTGACAGTTTCTACAATTTACAGGCCAGACAGGACTTAAACGACTGAAGGTATGTTTGAAAACCTATGTTGCCATGGTGATATGTGTTCAAGAAATTGTATTGCCATGATAACGTGTTTTATTTCTCGAATAGATCACCAATAGTCAATCCGTGAATAATAAATCATTTATCGTGGTACATATCCGTACGGTTAATGCCATTTTAGTTATGTGAGTAAAAAAAATATATCTCAAATAGTATATAAATTTTATTGTCGTTTGACAAGTTATTTCGAATCAGGGAAGTAAAAAAAACCGCGAGAGCTTGCGCGACATTAGAAAGAAAAGGAAATTTGATAATGGTCAGATTTATCTGGAATTTCCAGAGATTTTCCACTGACTATCGATCGAATTCCATTTTAGGCTCTCTAATAGAGAGATTTTCAAACTCAGTGACATTTTAGAGCAAATAGCGGTATGAAATCATAGTATTCAGCCCCCCCAGTTATACTTTCATACTATTTGTGTAATTTCGTAGTTTTGTTACTATATACACTTCTATTTTGTACGATCAACTAATTTAATGTTATTAGTATGGAAATATCTTTCTATATATCTATCTATTTATCTATACCTGATCCATTTGGATGAAAATAAAAATGCAAAATATGTCACTCATCACTCTTTTTCAGCCATGAGTATTAAAAAAAATATTGAAAAAAGTCGATCTTGCAAAATTTCCCTGAACAAAATACTCGTTGGTGTTCAATAACTTTTACATATCATCAAGCATTTTCCGACAGTTTCTCATTTTCTATTCAACATGAGACATTGTATGTCCCCGATATGATGATGAAACATTCCACAAACCTCATTATCGTGTGATCTAGAACGAAGACTTCGGAAGGTTTTGCCTAATTTAATAACCCCTATAATAATAATATCCTCATGTGTGATAACGAAGGAATGCGAGAACTTGGAGAATTCCTAATATTGTCTCTCGATCTCATCTCCCACAATCAGCTATCGAGGCAATATTATGATTCTAATATGAGGGCAGCATTCAAGTTTCTTGATTACTCTGAGAATACTATACCGTATCTAACAGAGTTATTGATGGTGATGATTTTTGTCGTGTTCCCAACTAAACAAGATTCATACAGTTTGTGCGATTCCAAACCGCAGCACCGTCCTTATTTGGAACCCGTTGACCGATTTTCGAAAACAAAAATTCCATAATTTGAGTACTCAAAGAGCTCTACTCTACATCCAACGAACAGCGTGGCTCTGGAACACATTGCCAAAGAAGGTGTTCCCCGAGGCATATAACCTTTAGAAATTTGAGAAGGACACCGATTCCTACCTTATTTCCCTTGGTTCTCACGATGTTCTCTGAACATTACAGGATATCCCTCTTCGTAGGAACCAAACATAAAAAACTCTAAAATGAGGACAAATTTGAAATATTCAGATTTTCAAGGCCTACTTTAGTTAATTGAATGGGTCAAAATTCCAAGAACGACTATAAGGCAATATTTTTTTCGATTCAGGTATGACCAACCCCATCCTCCGTCACTCGTAGGAGAAGGAGATAATAATAATATATTTAATTGCGTATAGAAAACATACTGTTCACAGCAATGAATTCAAGTGAGAGTAAGAGATAACAAATCCAAAAATTGAAAATTTTAATTCTTCAACTCGCGAAAAAAATTTCGTGAATATTTCATTTTCTAGTAGTACAGGCCGTGCTGAATCGATTGCGACCTCGAACAGGTCGCTAGGACCCATAGTTTTTGAAATATTCTTGGTCAAAGTACGCTTAAAAACAGAAATTCACTTTCTTTGATTATCCAAAACACCAACAAGTTATTGTGAAAATATTCGAAGGAGAAGGAACACTTTTGGCCTACTTCGTAGACGAAAACAGGGATCGGAAGAGTAATCTTCAGGAACCTGAACCAAAAGAGTCATTCATATTGAAGTGGCCCTTATAATGAGCACCATGAGTCAAAGATGGTAGAATTGATGACGTCATGTAGGTTAGATATAATGGGACACTAGGCCTAAGTGTCGTCGGAGACATCAGTAAGACGAGCCTATATACAAACGGGGTGGAGTGTTTAGTGGGTATACCTTGGAGTCAGAGGACTCCCACACTATCAAATGGGGGATTAGACCCAAATGATGTCCATGAAGGACTTCAACCACCTCGAAGAAAACAGAAAAGGAGTTTTTGTCATTCTCGAACTAATTAGCCACCCCGGTATTCACCACCATTTCAACGTTGATATGAAAATAGAGAAAAGCTGCATGAATTCAAGAAGTGATTCTGGATACGTGGCATGTTTGGAGAAGTATTCACGTAGATTTGCGCGAATATTAATAGAGTTGTGCCCTCAGGCACTGTTCTATGATTAGAGGATGTCAGAGAGGAATTATAGAGAGAGAAATAGTTTCCGGGTGAAGGATGATTGGTTGCGTATTAGCATATAATACGGAAAAGGAGTTACAGCAAGAGTTGCCGAGATAGTCATTCGGATTCTCAATGAGAAATTGTACTAATGTGCGTTGTCTTTCATGGAAATTATTGTATCTATTGATTCTTTGATTAATTTCCATGATTAGAATGAACTGTAGAGAAAAATCTATACAGGGTGAATCTGAAAGTGAGGTTTCTCATTTAACAGGGTATATATCTCGCCAGAATAAGTTGTTTGGCCAAAAATTGTTCATGTAAAAGATGTAACATAACGGAGGTAGAAGCATTTCAAGGTTTTGTACATTGAAACTCTAATTTTATTAATCAAACATTTATTAGAGAAAATATGATGAGAAAATCACTGAAACATTTTATGGGTTGAAAATGTGAAAAGAGGTATTTGATTAATTCATCTGATGAAATAATGCAACTGTAGGGTACTGGACTAATAACGGCTGTTTTGTGTTTTTTTGTGAAAATATAAACAAAATGTTTCATAGTTGGAGTCTTCTTCAATCTTTTAAATACCTGTACCTCCGTTATCTTGAGTATTTTATGTCAGCAATATTTTGCCAAACAATTTATTTTGAAAATAGGATAAGGTCCTATTGTTTGGACCAAAATATGGCGAAAGGACCGAATATGCCTTACCTGGGAAATTACATTTCATGTCAGTGAATGTATTTCGTTGCGAGATGATAGTCAATACTTCTTCAATACTGTCTGTAGGTTAATCGAGGAGGTGGTATATTCATTATTCCAAATTTTTTGGGATTTTCTCTCCTCGTTTCTATGAAATAAAAATATGAATATTATTTCAATATACGTGTAGTAAGGACAAATCAGATGGAATAATGAATACTTTTTCAATTGAAAGGCCCTGTATCTTTTTCCACAGCAATATTCCATCAAGGCATATTTGGTTCTATCGCACTAGTTTGGTCCAAACAATCTGCCCTCAGTCTTTGTTCAACCCTGTATAATAATGTTTGAAAATATAATATTTGGAATAGTGACGGATGATAGGTAGAAATATGATAAACATGTCTTACAGCAATATTCGTTTCTAACTTGTATGGTTCTTGCTAAATAGAATTTCCCCAACTATACTTAATGGGATGTTTTATATGCAAAATCCAATAATTTATTGCGACTTCTAAATTACGCATCGAAATTCGCGAAGCTAAGAGCTTGGAGCCCTCATTAGCGCCTCAAGATTTGAGTGATTCCATCGAGCACAATTTACATTTTTTCAATGGCGTAAAATAAGTTTCGTATCAGGAGAAGCTGGGACTAGAATTCAAAGAAACTGCGCCAGAGTAGTGCGGAAATTTCCTCATTACGAAACTGATACTGTTGTTGAAATGTTCAAATTATTACTTTATTCCATAACTTTTGACTTCAGAAATGTTTGTCGCTGCCAGTTCAGAGAAAAAAATCCCAATTACGTTTCCAATATATAACCCAGAGTCGCAGAAGTAAGCAAACAAACGAAATAATGAATAGAAGATTAAAATCTTTCGATTGAAACTGCCGAATTCGAATAATTCAAAGCTACAAATCTGCAACCTATTAAATGAATGTACAGATTCTCTTCTTTCGTCGGTCTTTTTTCGGTGGAACACCCCTTGTGAGACAGAGAATAACAGAATTGGATTTGTTATCTGAGTGTTGTGTCAAGATGGCGGAATATTATTTTCTAGACGAGGAATATTTCTTGAAGAGTCCTCAAAGAAATAAACTTAACAAAGGTGCGAAAACTGGAAGTGACATTGTTGTGATCCTCCGAAGTGTTCCTCCCTCATGTTGAATTTCCATCGAGTATCTCAGTTTGCATTCATCTGAAAGACCTCATCTGCATGTACTGAACCAATTTAATGAGAATTTCTGCTACTGGATTTCTATCTCCATAAAACTTGAGAGACCCTAGAAATATGGTATATTCATATCCACCTTGGTGAGCTCTACCCACCGTTGAAGTTTCTCCGTTTCCCAGTGGGACACCCTGTACACGTAGACATTGTATCTCGGAATTGGGGAATCAATTATTGTTATTGTATGAAGTGGAACATTATCGATGTCTATTCAGTCCTTTGTGCTCTGCTGTTTTTATCCGAAGACGAATTCCTAACATAATTTCGGTTTTGAAAACTCAAGTCTGTTTTGAAAATTCAAGTCAAGTATGCATTGAAAAGTTTCAAACATCAGCTTACCTTTTGTAAAGTGAAGTGCCTTATTGTATGTAGCAAATACTATACAAGGAGTTATTCATAATAAAGATCCACACTCCTATACCAAATCTTGGTTTAAATTCCCCAGATAACAATGTTTTTTTTTCTTACCTTTCTTCTAAGATGCAAGATAAACTGGGCGTCAATTGAAACGTTAATAGTGAAATTTGGCATCAAGTTTGACTTCTCGTAATTTCTGAAATATTGAACGAATTTTGAATTGCCGCCCAGATTCTGAATGCCTTTTTCATCTTCTTTCGAACCATTCCTTACAGCTCCTTCTGAAATGATCAGGACCCGTGATACAGGGTGAAACAAAGTTTCGTGCATTTTTAAAAATATTTCTCGGCACCCCCATTTTGTCGGAAAACCACAATGCTCATATTTTATTTAGGCATTTCATAAATAGCAACCATACCTCGGGACGTTTTCGAGTTTTTGCCAAAAACTACTGTGGTTTCCGAAAAAGAAATTTTTTTGTATTTTTTTAAATGAACTCATTTTAGAGGAGTTCCATAAATGGATGCTATTATGCATTTCAGGAAAGCGTTGGAGCAGATATGTATACCAGGTTACTCAAAAACAATCAATAATTTATTACTTTACAGTCTATGATAAAAGTTTTCTACCTTAGTGAGCAGCAAATCAACACATCTCATCAACAAAAACAAACAACGATACCTTGTTTCTGTAACAACGTATTGTTAAAACAATGTAGATATGCATAGAGGTTATATCAATTGCCAATTTTCATGAAAACGTCAGTGTATTTCGGGTCCTAAGAAATTTGAAGATGCCTCGTTCAAATAGGGTCGAAATGGATAATCATTAGGTAAGATCACTATAGTGATATAAACTATAATTCAGTACAGATATTTATTATTTCAGGCTACGACGATTAGGATATACCCAAACTCATTTAAGTACAATTTTCAATAAGTCAGTCATGACAATAAATAGACTGATTCATCGTTTTGGGGATACAGGTAATCAGTCCATTTGAAAAAAATTCAAAAAAAATTTTTTTTCTCGGAAACCACAGTAGTTTTTGGCAAAAACTCGAAAACGTCCCGAGGTATGGTTGCTATTTATGAAATGCCCGAATGAAATATGAGCATCGTGGTCTCCCGACAAAATGGGGGGGCGGAGAAATTTTCTCCAAAATGCACGAAACTTTGTTTCACCCTGTATCACGGGTCCTGATCAATTTCAAAGAAGCTGTAAGGAATGGTTCGGAAGACGATGAAAAAGGCATTCCGAATCTGGGCGGCAATTCAAAATTCGTTCAATATTTTAGAAATTACGAGAAGTCAAACTTGATGCCAAATTTCACTATTTACGTTTCAATTGACGCCCAGTTTATATATAGTATAGCATTTTAGTAACAAAAACTGCATTAGAATGTTTTCCAGAGTAAGTTATTTGAATCCTAAAACTAGGTCCGTTTACGAAACTTACTCATAGTTGTATGGTAGTTTGTATTATAGTATTAGTATTGTATTAGTATTATAGTCTTCCATCAATGAGGGCAGAACGCTGATTGAAGTTAAAATCAAGGTTTTTCGCCCAGAGTTTCTTCGTTACTTCACCACTGTATGAACAGCAGTTCAATGGAAATGATAAAGAGTTTCTCAGTCTCTCCACTTATGCTGTGAATAGTTGTTCAGCCCTGTAAATTATGTATATTTGAACGAGAGATCTGAAGGGGCACTGTCAATAGAATATTCTCGAAATGGCACATATTATATAGTCTCAGGATTCACATAGCAGAGTGAAGATGAGTTTCTGGTTTTGTATTTTGTCCTCTCATCAGAGAGTTTCACAATTATCTTCAGTTTCGCCAATGCACTTGACAGACGACAGACGTAGGTATATTATGTACTTTTGTTGCGGATGTGTTCATTGTAGAGAGACCTGTTATATAACAAAGATATGTTGTACTGACGCTATTCGTCTGATATCATCTACAATGTTGAGAGATCGATAATTTTCATTTGTGTCCCAATCTCGAGTATTGCCTATAGAAAGTACACAAAATGAGAGGAGGAAATTAAATAAAAGAGTAGATCCTATTTGACAGAAAATATGAGTTGACATTTCATTTTATGATGGGGAAAAGTCATAGTTTTCTCATACACATACATTTTCTGAAGCTAGGAGTTACGTGCTATAGCTACCCATAATCTTATATATGCAGAAACTAAATACTTATGGAACTATAATAACTGGGCGAGTTGATAGCTATTTATGCAGGTTCTTCTGAATTACAGGGATATTTGTTTACAAAAAATTATTGAACTTGCTCTACCAATGTAAATTCTGAATTGACCCACTCGTTTCACAGCGATGCAACTTTTGACATTTAAAACGTCAATTATATTGGAAGCCAGAATGATGAATGCATATATGCTTAACTCTCGCGAGCAGCTCGTTTATTGTCTCAATCACGAAATATGCGAATGAAACTCGTGATTCTATTCTTCCTGGAAATATCTATCAATTTTGACATACTCCAGCTTGCTGCTTCAATTGCGATCATGACATTGTTCCAAAATGTCTCGCCTACGGCTCTAATGTTTTGATAAACAATGTTATTCGCGAAATTATTACGCAACAAGCTGTCGAAACAATCGCCAAATATTTCCGGCAAAATATTATCACTTGAGGTATTACATAATATAAAAAAAATCCTTAAAATACTTTCATCAATACTAAACTGGGAGCATGGGGATTTTCTCGATATTATGAATAGGTTTCTTCGTCACCAAGTATAAGCAGGTGTCTTCACGTTTTTCATCAATAATTATGTTGTCATATCGCTGATGTATTTGTCTTCCAAATAATCGAATGTCGTGTGCTTATTGTTTCGTTCAACTGATCAACAATTTATATCACTCAAAAAATACACCCAGTATTTCCGAGAACTAGATTCATCAGCTGGAGGGTTCAGGATGAGAATTAGCTGAAAGTGCTGAGAAAGTCGTTCATGTTTATTATATCGGCCTTGTTGGCATGTATGTTCTGAAATTTATTAGATACTGCGATTAAATTTAGCGGCTGAAAATTTTGTTGTTGCAGCTTAAACTTTCTATATTATAATACGAAGTGATTCAGTGGCGAATACGAAATGAATAATACATGTTCACATTGCCTATAAGGCGTGTTCGAAATGAATAGTAATATTGTGGAGATATTCGAGATTCTCAAAATGGAAACCAGTTCATTTTATCAAAATATGACAACTATGCCTTTTTTCTAGCAACTCGTTCTGGTAACCAAAAACAGTGTGAAGGAATTGAGAATACCTATTCAGAATTTCATGTGATATGGATTTCATGCCATATGACCCCTGAATCTACTATACCCTAGGTATTTCTGTTGTACCTGGAAATTTTCCGAAGCTCTGTATCATTGGTTAACTTTGTGAAAAGATATAATGAGAACATCGTTTCGTCTGCCGACATTTGCACACCCTATTTATAATTAGGTAAATAAACCTCCTCAGTGAAACATTAATTGATTTTGATTTTATGGTACTTCCCACTGAATCACCTAGTTTATTAGTTTTTGAAGGTTAGGCCAGGAAATTTCCCTGAGAGTTAGTCAAAATATACAAAATGCAAAACCGAAATCACCTTCAGTGGGGGAATAATAGGCTCAACATTAATTTCAATACATTTGAATGTTATAATCGTTCTGTTGAAATGATTTCATTTCAATGACGAAAAAACATTCCCATTCACATGTAAACCATTTCGCTCAATGTATTGAATTCAATGCGGCCCAAATGCTCTATATGGTGATGTAGTTGGTGGATATTATGGAAAATTACAACCGAGTAAAACATGCCGAATACACATGGATCCATTAGTCAAATAAAAGCCAAAGTATCAAAATTTGTAGCTCTATACATTTGTGCTACATTATCAATTCACGAAGATCATTAGTGGCTCATATAAAATTACGTATATCTGATGGTTGTATTGCTGATGTTTTTGATTATGCAGAATATGGTCGGTGACTCGCTGAATAAATATCGAATAATCTTCCATCGCATACATATATCAAGAACAAACGCACAAAAGGACTCAAAACATATATTGCTGGCAATCCACTTAGGAAATTACCCTTTTCCCCATTTATTATGTTTACTAGCTATCCCCATCCTCTCCTCTGATGAAAAGATAAAATCCTAAGTGGTAGAGAAAGGAAAACGTCAATAGAAAACACCACATTGAAATACACATAAAAAAGCTTTGGAAACATCCAGAGTACCGCTATTTTTGGAGGATCTGCCTCTCGACTGTCTAGAAAATGGCTTGATGTTTGTTCTCATGTATTTGTTTGTCCTATATTATACTATGATTGATACAACTTGATACAACTCAGCTTCAGTTACAGAAGAGTATTGAAATGGGATACTCTTCAATGAATTCAGTGAAAAAACGTTTTATGTACTTAATGAAAAATAGCAAAATGATTCAAATAAAATCGAATATAGTCCGTTTAAGGAGTGAGGCATATATATATTTATTATTAGCAATTTGAATATTGCTATTGAAATACCTGAGACAAGTAAAACATTTTCAAGTGACTCTATTGGTGATTCGTCTACGAAAAACATGATATCATCAAAACATTATGTGAATTGAGTGAAGAGAATTTATACCTTGAAATGTGCGTAGTAAATAGTAATTTTTTCGGTTTGGGGCGATTCGTATTTTGTAGTGCTTTCTAAAAAGTACAGTTTTTCAGAATGTAACTCACTAATGAATTGACTCAAGAAATTATCTAATCTTCCTATGGGACCGTCATTGCACATCGAAGTGAAGTTGACCATCATCCTGATATGGTCAGAACCTTTTTGTTACCCTGAAATGTTACTCTGGAAATAAAATCTATTTATAGAGTATTATATATAAAGAAGCATTAGTGAAAGTAATTTATTGAATAAATAAATGAAAAAATTAATAAATCCGTAATAACCTCATCAGCAAGAGATTCCTCAATGTAATAGCAGACTTTCCAACGTTGCATTGAAAACAGGTGAAACCTCAGTTGGCTAACTGATGGGAGAAAAACTCCAGAAACACTGTAGAAATTCCAAAATTTTCTGAGTATATGCGATATTGTTAGATCATGGAAGATAAATAAAATTGAGAACCTTGAGGGATTTGGATAGTAGGGAGTTTGTTCTCGAAGAAAGAGCTGAAGAAGCTATATCTGTAGGGCATAGTATCGTGCTCCTTTCGAATTCAGGAACAGGTTCGCATCATTTTCATTACGAATTTGCACACAGATGGCGTTATACGTGATTTCTGAGGAGGTTGGTAGAACTGATGATCATTTTGTAATTATCATCAGTTATACCAACCTTGATATCTGATACATACTGCTGATAGACTCAAATCTTCTCTGCCATTTAGTATGCATATTTTAAAATGACTGAAAACTCTCAAAATTGAATTTGTCATGAATATGAGTGATTTTGAACTGTTTCAATGACAATTATATAGATGAGGGGTGATAAGAAACAGTAACCCCACTTTGTTCCGCTTGTACACAAATAAAACGCAAGCGTGTAAAGAAAAATAGTATATTGTTTAACGAGCACGGAATGATAGTGATTTCCTACGAGAATTAAATTTTGCAGCATGAACCATAGGTCAATGCTGCAATCATTCGATTAGGAAATTATCTTTCCGTACAAGTGATACACTATAATTTTTCTACGGCTATAATAGATAACAGCGGCATTTTCGATTTCTTCGTCTTGTAGCCATCTGATTTTCTGTCAAGAAAAGCTCATCTATTAGACAGAGCTGTCATTGTTTGAAATTCGACATTCCATGGGCGATAAGTGTTCTTGAATAATAACACAATGGAGTCATTGTTATATCAGATATCGAAATAAAATTGATGACATACAAAGTACCTCATTGATGTATCGAACACAGTAATACAATAGCAATCTTGTGCTATAGTCGTAGAAAAAGGTACTTGCGTGTTTCAACGCCTACCATCTTGAAATTTCATTGTTATGCACTCAGAGAAATGTGGAAGAATATATCGATTATACTTACCCTTGTGTTCATCTTTCAGGAATATGCAGCAGTAAGAGCCTGAAGGGCATGCGTCTGAACGTACCTCGGGCGGTACGAGCGGGCCACTCGGTCACTCTCGGCTGTGAATACGACCTTGAAGACGCTCCCCTCTACTCGGTCAAGTGGTACCGAAACAACGGCGAGTTCTACCGATACGTGCCAAAGGAGGAACCGCCTACCAGAGTGTTCTCTTTGCCAGGGTTACACGTAGAAGTAAGTGAGATGACTCCATATTTCAGGTGGAATTTTTTCAGTAGATGCGCCTTTAATTTTACTTCATGGGCCTCAATGGAGTCACCATGTTTGCTATGCGGATATCTGGAAAGTCTGATGAGATAGAAGTTGTATCATGGATGGAGAAAGATTCTAAATGGGACTCGTCCACTTTCATACATAATTCAATATTTCTCAACATTTCAGGAGATTCAGCTGGCTAATCCGCCAGGTCTGGACAATTATGATTTGGTTTGTTTCCTAGATAATGGCATATTGTAGCTGAGATACCAATGTTTGTCCTGTGGAATGATGGACCTTATGAAATCATTGAAAGTACTTGACAAAAGGTCTGGAGAATCATAATTCGGTTTGTTTCCTAGATAATGGCATATTCCAGCTGAGATACCGAGGGAAATAAGGTAGGAATTGGTGTTCTTCTCAAATGTCTGGAGGTTATATGCCTCGAGGAACACCTACCTCAGCAATGTGTTCCAGAGCCTCGCTGTTCGTTGGACGAACGAGTCTTTGGAAAGAGATATTCTGCAGGTCTCTAAAGTGACCACGAAGTGCGAAGCCTCAACTCGACGGGTTAATCTCGCAGGGGGCTGCCAATGGAGAAACAATTGTTGATAATTCAGAAGAGCCTCGTCCATGAAAATATCTATAAAATAGAGCCAGATCACCAACTTTTCTACGGTGTTCCTGATAAGTGAGTGAGTTTGTGAACGAGGCATCACCCACGGGACGAATTGCTCTTTTTTGGACAGAATCCAACAGTTTCAGGGTATGTTTGGGTGCTGCACTCCAAATATGGAAAAAGTATTCCAGGACAGGTCCGATCTGTGCCTCATAGATCATGAGCAGCTGTCTGGAAGTGAAATAGCTCACAGAAAACCAAGTTTTTGGGATGCACTTTTAGCAATTGATCTCACATGATTTTCCCAAGGGAGGTTATTGCTGATAGTAAGACCAAACATCGGAATGGATGTCTTCCAAGGTATGGTTACTCCTGAACAGCTTATGTTGGGCACAGTGAGATCGGCTTTTCTAGGGAAAAGGCATGCTTGTGTTTTGTTTGCATTAAAATCTACTAAGCTATTGGATCCCCATTTGAGAATTGTTGCCAAATCCATATTTATGTTTTCAACATTTCTCCCTCATTCGTTTCTGATTCGCCTGGCTGGTATTGGAGCCCTGGAAGAGAAGGCGGTATGGAAGGTACTATCATCCGCGAAGCTGTGTACTGGACATGACGTTGCTTTCAACAAATCGTTGATATGGAGTGGAGATAGTGTAGGTGCTAGAATTGATCCTTGTGGAACACCAGCATTTATGATAAAAGAGTCAGATAAAAATCCTTTGACCACTACATGGAGATACCTATTTGAGAGAAAACAAGCTAGCAGAGAACATGGCCGGGGGGCAAGTCATAAAATGGAAGTTTGGCGAGGAGTCCGTGTTGCCAGACTCGATCGAATGCCTTGGAGATATCAAGTGCCACGGCTAAGGTTTCACCATATTTTTCAATAGATTGATGCCATATATGTGAGACGTAAGCGAGCAGGATAGCTTTCTTCATGATCTTTGAAATAAAAGATAGCAGTGTGATCGGTCTGTAGTTGCTAGGTAGGGTCTTTTTGTATTTTGAGGAACTGGTTGTACTCTTGCAATTTTTCAGTTGGACGGGAATATCCCCAATTTGTAAGAGTAGTTGAACAACTTGCAGAGAACAGGTGTTACATGCCTCAAAATAAAATTCTCCAGATTTCTACAATTTTTATTCGGTTTGTTTCCTAGATAATGGCATATATTTCAGCTGAGTTACCAATTTTTTCCAGTGGCACGATGGATATTATGAAATCATTGAAAGCACTTGACAGAATCAAACACTAGTATCGAAACAATCTAGTTGAACCGTCATGTAATTCAAAGAACTCTATTTGCAGAGAAATCCAATTTCCACAAGAGGTGAGCCTCGGAATGAAGCATTCCAAGGGAGGATTATGAACAATTCAGCGGTGAAAGTATAAAATGCTTACAAAATAAGATTCCGAAAGCCTGCAGAGCCGCAGTTTATTCCGAACGAACTATTTCGTGGAATTACTTTCATGCTGCGAAATATTATGCGGGATCTTTGCTCTCGATTGGGATTCTGGCGAAAAAGTTCAGTTGGAAGAAATTGTGATTGTTCTTGTTTGAAGATGTTGCCGAGTTTCACGTCAGCTAAAGCGATGGCAATTATTCTACGTTTAAGGATATGTCACTAGCATCAGATAATGGAAAATAACTTGAATTTAATCATAACCAGTTATAAAGCTTCGTAGCGCAGGAAGTCAGAGTGTGTTAAAGTAATATACAGTGTGCCCTGCTTCAACTGTTTTCACATTCATTTCTCTGAGTAGAAAGAATGATTCAAATACATATTCTTAAATGTATACTACTCACTTTGGTTTATAAATTGAGTTTCCCCCATCATTCCATGACCTTCTGTGATGAGAATCAATATAGTAGGAGTACGGAGATGAGAAAAACAATAAATTTAATTGCAATGTTAGTTATCAGATATGATATCAGTAGCCAGCATAGCCTCGTGGTTGAAGTGTCAGTATTCTATCCACGTTGGATTGCTGGTAGGTGGGTTCGATTGCCACCACGACCGCAGACATTTTTCTGTTAGCCTAAGAAAGTGTTTGGGATAAAACGTTGAAAGGTAAGACCCCCGTCATTTCTCTTGCTCACACAAGTATCTTGAGGACTTCTGAGGGTTGTTCGAATAATAAGAACAATTTAGGAACAACAATTCAAGAGACCACAACCTGCATCAAGGCTATCAACAGAATCAAACTGAAACTACAATAAGTTGATATGGAATCAACAGGTACATATATGCTAATACACCATACAAATGATGCCTAATGACACAAAGCGATGACACGTGATGATATGGTTATACAGGGTGATTCAAAATTCGATGTAAATATCCAAAGGACATATTGTTGGGATCAAAATGAGACTTTTTCTTAAATTCACCCCCTCCAAGCTACAGCCACTGGAAGTAAGGTATTGAAAAAATATATTCTGAAATTGTGACTGAAATAACGGATGAAATCTTCTGAAAATTGGTAGGCCCCCTGTCCTTTCAGACACTTTTCATTCTATCTTCAAAAAAGGTATACCCAGTTTTTGAAAGGGGAAAAGGGGGTTGAAGGGGGTCCACACTTTTATTGGCTGAAATAAGGTGCATTCTAGGACACATGTTGATATTAATAAAAAGTCTTATTTTGATCAATCAATCCCAACAATACGTCCTTGGAATACTTATATCGGATTTTGAATCACCCTATCATATTGACTGTATCAGAAGAATGTTGATGAAAGTGCATACCTATATATTATATAAAGTGCTCAAAGAAACAAGTGAACCACTGAAATTTCCGACAATTTTCAAACTGTCATAACTTTTTGAAAAATGAATGGATTTTCAATCGGAATGCAGTTTTTGGAAGATGCGACCTTTCTGTTCAAGATTCCTTGTTCAGAACTGGTCGGCAGTTTTTCTGTCATTGTACACCAAGTGTTCGAAAAAAGTATTACAAGAATGAAGAAATTCAAACGCTTCCGTCTTCCAGTTTTTTTTTTATTTTTCTATTAAGCGTTTTTTCCGAACCTTCAAGCCAATATCTCGAAATGGTTTTGTAATTTTCCATATTCCTCATACAGAATGTTGAAAATCGATGATTTTTCATTTTTAGTTTTTTTTCACTTCATTTCTGATTTTGAAATTATGCAAGCCACATTCAACGTATTATGCCACTCCATACAATGGAGCACATCCTAGAAAATGGATTCATATTGCGTTGAAATCATCGACAACTTTAGCAGGAGAAGAATTAATTTTTTTTTGAGAAATGTTCAGAATTTGGTGAAATCGTCTGTTCAGTTTGATGCTGTCATAACCATATGCTATGCTAAATACAAATCCTTCATTTGAATCGATTGCTCTGCTCAGTATGTCGAATTGATTTCGTGATTCTTCAGATAAGGCAATCCAATCCGAAGAGGTTTGAACGAGGAATCTTGAACAGAAAGATCGCATCTTCCAAGCACTGCATTTCGATTGAAAATCCATTCATTTCCTAAAAAGATATGGCAGTTTGAGATTTGTCAAATATTTCAGTGGTCCACTTGTTTCTATGAGCACTTTAATTAGTTATTGTGTTAGTTTAGTTGGTTATGCACAGCCGATGATTATAAAACCGAATCCGGCCACCATATTGGCATTAACTTTGCCATGACTGTCATCTGAATACCGTGTCATCAAAATAACAAAGAAGAATCACGAAAGAAATATTATCGATTCATATTGTACAATGTTGATTATGAAGAGATCACTTCAAATGCTTCTGATAATTCAAGTGTGAAGTTATTTTAGTTCTACTAAGACAAAGTACAAATTTTACATACATACCATTCAACAGTATAATATTATTATCATCCGAGAGAAACAAGTAGGTACCTATTTATCTCAATTCGAACAAATAGTTGTCACGTTCCAAGTTTACGTGTCACGTGATAGATCGAATCGCTATTTCAGACCGAAATGATGTATCCGATTCATTTTTCATTTTCGGACCAGGTCGGGTCACGGAGAATGCACATTTGTGAAAGCGTGAAAAATAAATTATACATTGCAGGAGAATGTGTCAGTCGAGAGTATGGCAAAATGTGTATTTTGATGGTCTCTCAAAGTGAACGGTTATGAAGCTCTCTGCTGCATATACATCGCATTCCATATTTTCAGGAGAAATCAGGTCGAAATTGATAGATATATATATCGGAGAGGCACTCCCAGTGCATCGCACACAATTTTTTTAGAATCTTTCTGGTGGGCAGATTCCAAAAATGTATGTATGTACAATGCCTACAGAAACTCCGAAGCTTATAGTTCGGAATCTCAAAAATGATTTGTATTCCTTCCATTCACAATATCATAATTC